ATACATTGGATTGTGCTACATTTGCTTTCTTTTCATTTGCGTTTTTTTTTCTGTGAACTTTTTAATTTTTATTATGGCTCCTAAGCATAAGACAGACCGTTCTGATGTTTTATGTCCTAGATTATGATGTGACCACTGTTTTAGCGTAGTGACAGCGTGAGTGACATACAGTGCCATGAAAAAATATTTGCCCCTCCTGATTTCTGTGTTCTTTGCATATTAATCACACACAAAGTTTTCAGATCATCATACCAATTTTAGTATCACACAGAGACAACCCAAGGAAATACAAAATGCAGTTTCTAAATGATGATTTTATTTACCAAGAGGGAAACAATTACAAACCTATCTGGCTCTATGTGAAAACATAATCCCTTTAAGATCCTCTGGTAGATCCCTATCTACTTATTAGGCACCCTTGGTGTAAAAAAACTAAATTGGTCCATTGGTCTGTATTAGGTTTTTCTGTGTATAAAAAACATAGTTATGAATGTCTTTAAATACCCCACAGCATTCAATAATCAATTCAGACGGGCCGTAAACTAAACAGTAAAATGTTACTAACACATTGAATATTTTCATTTTATGTTTTCATTGCAAATAAACACTTCATTTAGGAGCTGATAAAGTATGAAGGATTTGTTATTTCATGCTGAACCTTTAAAAGATGATCAGTGATTGTGTTTTGCTCGAATTGAGTGTTGCATTCATGGTTCCACTGCAGAAAATTTCTGTTTATGCACCAATTTGAACTCTTCCAGTTTGCTGTGTCAAAACCTAAAAGTAGCACTGTACAATTTTTAAACTGCAACGCTGGGTAAAATGTAATATATCTAGTTCTATTTATAGTTGATGTCTCTATCAAAGAAAATCATAATTATTGTGAGAAGTCAGTTTATCACGACGGTTCTTCTCTCATCGTTTACTCTGAATACCTCTCCCAAATCCCCCAGAGCTAGGAATTCAACTTTCAGCTGGATTCAAACCTTAATCGTCTGGATGTGGAAATCTGCATATTGAACCTAGTCTCACCTTTTGGTTAGAAAATACATTTCCAGATGAATGGATTTATATTCATGGTTAGGCTCTTGCCCACCACTTCACCCCAAAATAGTAATGAAAAGTAGCATTTTTACTTACTGAAAAAAAGAACAAGAAATGTGTTCAGTCTTTTTTTACTCTCCAGTCATAAATTAGAAAAAATGTAGAAATTAATGCTGCAACACATTAAACATTCTTAGAGGTTTGTCATTAAACAGATTAACTAGTAGTACTTAAGGTCTGAACATCAGGACCTGTTCTGCACGATTGGTCAAGGGTGACGTTTATTTTTAAAGTTATTTTGCAAGTTTATTTTAATTGCTCATGATCTACAAAGACACAAAAACCCACTGCCCAGTCCTGTCACATAGTTCTCTCTTGTCATTTCGAAGCCAGTAGTGAGTGGAAGTGTTGTTCTATGCTAACAAATAGCAAAGAGCAAGGCTGTTGCTCTGATATTCCATCCATCCATCCATCCATCCATCCATCATCAACCGCTTATCCGGGGCCGGGTCGCGGGGGCAACAGTCTGAGCAGGGACACCCAGACTTCCCTCTCCCTCGACACTTCCTCCAGCTATTCTGGGGGGACCCCAAGGCGTTCCCAGGCCAGCCGAGCGACGTAGTCGCTCCAGCGTGTCCTAGGTCTTCCCCTAGGTCTCCTCCCAGAGGGACGGCACCCGAGCACCTCCAGAGGAAGGCGTCCGGGGACATGTGATGTAAATGCCCAAGCTACCTCAGCTGACTCCTCTCGATGTGGAATAGCAGCGGCTCTACTTCGAGCTCCTCTCGTGTGACAGAGCTCCTCACCCTATCTCAATGGGAGTGCTCTGCCACCCTGCGGAGAAAACTCATTTCAGCCGCTTGTATCCGGGATCTCGTTCTTTCGGTCATGACCCAAAGCTCATGACCATAGGTGAAGGTAGGAACGTAGATTGACCGGTAAATCGAGAGCTTCGCCTTTCGGCTCAGCTCCTTCTTCACCACAACGGACCGATACAGCGACCGCATTACTGTGGCCGCTGCACCGATCTGCCTGTCAATCTCATGCTCCATCCTACCCTCACTCGTGAACAAGACCCCAAGATACTTAAACTCCTCCACCTGAGGCAGGACTTCCTCCCCAACCCGGAGGGTGCAAACCACCTTTTTCCGGTCGAGAACCATGGCCTTGGACTTAGAGGTGCTAATTCTCATCCCAGCGGCTTTACACTCGACTGCAAACCTCCCCAGTGCATGCTGCAGGTCCTGGGTCGAAGAAGCCAACAAGACCACATCATCCGCAAAAAGCAACGATGAAATCCGGTGGCTACCGAACTGGACCCCACCCGACACCTGGCTGCGCCTAGAAATTCTGTCCATAAAAATAATGAACAGAACCGCTGACAAAGGGCAGCCCTGCCGTAGTCCAACATGCACCGGGAACAGGTCCGACTTACTGCCGGCAACGCGAACCAA